AATTCATACCACTTATTTATTTGGTTCAGGAACCGAATAGAAAGGACACATTAGTGTATTACAGGTACCGCTTCAAACTTAGGATAATACCATGTAGAGAGGGTATGAATTTTTTTATCATCGATGGGCACAAATTAAAAAGTAGCTCTAAAAAACTACCAGCTGAAATTGAGATCTATGGGTTCTTGTTCTTCTCTCAGCTTCCTGGAGAAAAGTGAAGTCGTGATGAGAAAGAACACTTCAGTGAACGGGGAATAATTTCCTGGTGTACAAGACCTAAACCTGTTGCGCATTGGTTTTGTCTGTAATGGTCAGGAATACAACCTGAAAGTCCTGATCCTGTGTTGAGGTGCCTGCGGGCAGATACCCGTGCTTTACCAGTGGGGCTGTAAAAAGCTAGAGGGAACCATTTGGATAAATCCAATTACACGCTTAAGGCCAAGGTAGGGAATAATTATGTGAAGTGTATCCCAGCTCAAATTGCTCTACATACTCAGAATTTTGCGGTCTTTGTTCTTATTAAAGTGAGGTGTTTACCGATAAGATAAATCAGAGTACATATACTTGCATGCCAAATATCACTATGTCTTAACTTTCACCAACACTGATGCTGCTGTAGTTCCAGCTGCATTTATTATTTGACTGTTAAATATAACAGCATACTAGTAAATGCCACTAAAATGCATCCATAGGAGGTATTGGCTTTGATTTTAGTGAGCTGCTTTGATTGAGTTCTATAGTACTTGTTGAGAATGAGTTGCTGGTTGTTTTTTCTTCCACGGAATATATGATAATGCTTTTCCTATTCTGCGGCACTGTCTGCACAAACCAGGATACCTTCTGGGAGAACTGAATTTCCCTGTTTTGGAAAGCAGACATACTAGCAGGATATATTGCAATCGTTTGGCGTGGGCTGCTCACATTCTTAACTACAGTGGCTGAAAAAGAGAGACTAGCTCTTCTTCTACCCCTTTTTTCTGATCCCAAGCTAAAGTTTTAACTAAACCAGCATGACAGTTGTCTTCTGTCCTCACCAGTTAACTGCCTAAGATTTCTTTCTGTGTCTTATGGTGTCTTTGTTAAGATAACAAAAATATAGCTTGGGAAAAAAAAAAAAGACAATCTCAATAGTTTTATATTCATCTGACCATGGAAAAATTCTCAGCTGCAAACACAGACAGGTAGAAAGAGCCTCACTGGATGAGAACAGCAGCTAATCTAGCTCAGTGTCCAGTTTCCAACAGTGTCAGTATCTCATCCCTTTGAAGCAAAAATATTTGGAAGGCAATAATGAAATAGCTTTCACACAACTTTACTCCCAGACACCCTATAAGAATTTTTTTTAAAAATTATTTTGAGACTTCTACTTCTTAAAAGGAAATTTTATTTGTAGGCAAATATGTTTATGTAAATATAAGTACATGTTAGGACGAAAGCTATTATAAGTCTAATAAAGACAAGTCCTGCAAATCCACAATATACTACTAGAAAAACAGGATCTTTAATTTCAATAGATATAGACCCTAATAATCTGTAAGTCTTAACTATTTCCTCTTTAAAAAAAAGGCCAGCATATATCTGTCAGATTCGATAGAAGACTATTGGATGATCAATACAGGAAAATACTAATAAACTGAAGAGTAATATTTATTAAAAACACCCATAATCTCTTATGAAAGAGGGTGAGAAGATATTTTAAATACTCAGTTGGGATTCAGGAGAGCTTATTTCCGTTCTTTGCCCTGCCTTGGGCCTTCTTTTTGACCATGAGCAATTCTATTAAGTTTTCGTTCCTCATTTGTAAAATGAGAAAAATGTTGTGTTGCTCCATTACAAAAAACGGAGAAAAAAATCCATTATAGTATTCGCTTATTGCGTCAGTACTGAAAGACAGAGAAGAGTTGAAGGACCATGTGGTCTCTCGGGATGCCTGATGTTCCTTATGTCATCAGATTGTCATTACAGACTAAATGATTCTGTGTCTACAGCGTTTTAATGGATCAGAGAGGAGCTATTCAAGAGAGAGAGTCTAGATCTGTCATTCTCTAAGGAGAAGGTGGATGGAAGGTGCGCAAGCTCCACATCTCAGGTCACCTGTTACATGTACATGTTTGTCTGGGAATCTTTTATGTTTGGTTTCCAAAAATAAAATAGAATGGGAAAGTATTCCAATGTCCGGTACATACAGTTCGGATTCAACAGACTCATTTACTGGAAACGCTCTGAAGTTTCTTCAGGCTCTTTTTAGGATCCGAGAGCACACACAAGCTTGGCTTGCAAATGAATTTCACATTTCGTTACTCAAACTATTACAATTCTTGCTAGTGTGTGGGAGGAGAACACTCTATTTCTAGCATTTCATTCACTCTGTCTTTATGACCATATCATGTAGCGTATTTTTATGAGAAGGAAACATTTCATAATTTCCTTTGTATAATATACTGTGTAACTGGGAAGACAGTATATTGCATAAATAAATCTTCTTTGAGATATATGTCCAATATTTAATAAAATCTGTGGGAGTTGCACTGTTCTCTCAGAACAGTCACTGACTAAGGCTCTTCTATCAAAAGCCATTTCAGCTGGGGACTAAAAGGGCTGCAGACAAAAAAACTATTAATATTAAATCTCTCCCAGATAGCTCAAAACTGCTATCCACTGCTGTCAGTTACTTGAGCAGCCTGAGTAGCCCCAGAGATACAAACTGCTCATAATATTCTGAGCCAAATTCTTTCATGTTGTGAAGGTATCGACTTCACTGAGCCTGCCCCAAGGATGTATTTGACTCAAAAGTAAAATTAATTCTGCACTTAGTTAGCAGAAAATGTTTGATTGTAAAGGCTGGGAATCCAATAGTCTGTTCCTCAAAATGCAAGTACTGCCAATAAGAGACACATCTGATCTTGAGCCTTTCTCACCGTTAGCCAAACGGGAATTACTCCTGTTAACTGGGAAGAGAAATAGTTCCTGGAAGTAAAACCGTGAAGAAGTACTGTGTGTGTGCCTTTTGAGCTCATCTTTCCCCTTACTCTCTGCCTTTTCCTTTGCTTCATTCTGTGGAAGTATGTTTACTATACTTCTCTCTCTCTTTTAAACCTTCACAACTCCCCTGCCATCGTCACTCAACATTATCCTATACTTGTACGCTCATGGAAAAAGCTGTTGTGAAATCCTGACCGCAAAGTCAAGTGACGTTTTTCTGCATTCTTCAGTATAGCCACAGCTAGCGGAGCAGAAAAGTTTGGATCAGATTAATAGTAACAACAGAGGCCTGACGCTGCTTCTGCCTGACCCCAACTGCCTGCCTTTTGGTCTTGACTGTAATTTCTCACAGAATATTTGATAACACTGGAAATAAACAATGCTGTGTTCTTTTCAGGCTGTGACCGTTTTTTAACATTCTCACACGATTATGGCTTTGGTATACTAACACTTCCCCCAACACCTGCACAGTTTCTAATCCGTCCTTCTCCACCTTGCTTCATCCTGGCTTTCCTGTACCTGATGTTCCAGTGAACTCACGGCTTGGCTGCCATAAAGATAGTGTTTGGTTTCTCATTGCTTTAGAGTGGTGAACCAATTGATCGATTGGAGTATTTGCTTCCAAGACAGGTTCTTCCGTTCTGACCATAATAACATTCTTAGTCAGACAGCCACATCTGAGGGTCACTTCAGATGTACTTCTGCGTTTGAAAATCTGGCTTCAATTCATGTATTTTAGGGGTTACATTTTAGTTAGAGGTTTTAAAAGCTGGTAGAGAACACCTATGCCCAAACCTTTGCTGATGTAAACTGGACTGGTTTTTATAACTTCATTGGAGCTAAACTAAGGAAAGAGTATGTGACTGTACATATATACGTACGTGTACATACATCAACACAGAGAGAAATATATGAAATACTACTAATAATGTGGAAAGTATTAAGAATAGTCTTCCAAACATAATGTAAGATAATGATTGGAGCCCAACAAATCCACATAAATAAATACTTTTTTTTTTTTAAGGACTTTTCAGAAAGAAGGTTCAGTTGGGTAAATGAGGACATTTGCTTTGTGTTTTGTAATTTTTAGATCCCACTGAAAAAAAAGTTCTCATTTGGCGTATTTCAACTTTAAACATGTTGAAATTTCAGCACAGTTCCTTAAATAGGAAAGGACACGACCACCCACTAAATTACTAAATATTGAGACTATCAATCTCAGTTACTTAACTCAATTGGATTTCAAACTTAGGAGTCTAAGGCTAAAGGATTCTTTATGAAAATACCTATGTCTTAACTTCTCACAGAGATACGCAATTGCTTGCACTTAAACTGATCAGTTATTTTTGTAAGCGTGTATGTGTGTTTACAGAATAACAGCCTAATTCTCTGTCACTGAAATGGAGGCTGACCTACTCCTCACCTCAGTGAAGGAATGATTTCACTTCTTTCTAATCCAACTTAGACTGAGAAAACTAGAACTTACTTGGGTAGGACAGAGAATTTTTGAGTGATGCCAGACACGTATAATCCATCTTATATGAGTCTTTGTTAACCATTTAACTGCTTATCACTTCAAAATATTGGATACTTGAGGACTGCCCAAGTCTGATTATTTTTACTGCTTGGAGTTGGCATCAGAATATGTTCCGCTGGAATATTATTCAAATTTTCTTTTAAGAGGGAACTTATTAAAGTCAATACTATGCCTGAAATTATATACATACATACAATGTCTAATTTGTAACTGTTAATTTTCCTTCATTTTACTTTAACATTGAAACAAAGTTGTTTGCAATTGACAAGAAGCATACTGTAAACTTGCATATTTGGTGGGTTTCACTTGGAGAGCTGAAGAGGTTTCTCACAGCTATATTTATGAGTAACCACTCTAGGATGCTTTTTGCAACCAAACCTTTCTCCTCAACCCATCTTCATTCTCCCTGTTGTTTTTTTTTTTTTTGCCACCACCGGCAACTGCATTTACTTTATTCATACTGTGTCCCCTCCTTTCACAGAGCCAAGGAAAATTTTGCAGCAGCATCAGAAAACAGGTAACGTTTGCTGTGTGTGTTTGGCTTCCCCCCTATTCAGAGTTTACCTCCACTTTCCCCATGTTGTTCTTACCTCAAAACCATGAAATTTGTACACTGTTTGAGCAGATGATGAACGTAGCAGTTTCAACTAAGTGGGTTTGTCAGGCATTTCTTTCTAATGTAGACTTCAAAAAGCTCTGTGAGATGGGGCAGGTGGGGATCATGCTTCTCAGAACTTACAAACCTGAAAAATAAGCAGCTTTTATCAAATGTTCTTGAAATGGAGTACTGTCAGTCTGTGATGGAGTTTTAAGAACAATTTCCATTTTAAACTTTGTCTAGATTGTTCAAGATAGTTTTAAAATCTAAACAAGATTATCTTTTTAGTATTTTAAGAACATTTATATACCAGATTCTTGCGTATCTTGATTGATCCTCAATGGGTTATGAGGTTCAAAACATAGTATCTCTGTAAGTTCTTTGATTTCCAAAGTTGTTTTCTCCCGAAGAACCTCAGCACAGTTTGCAGTTACATATAGAAATATATTGTTTTCTATTAGTTCATATACTAAACCACACAAGTACTGAGACACAGGTACTTCTTGAGTGAATCCGACCAATTGCTTAACGGAGCAAAGAAATGCTTATTAGTTAGTCATGAAAAGAATTCTATCTCACTGCTTTCCTCTGTCTTGTTGATTCCTGCCTAAACAATGTGCAACCACTTTTTATTTTTGTTTTTTATGAGACATTTGAATAAAGGTTGCATAGAGTTAAAATCCAAGTGCAAGCATTATCATTACTAATGACACAAGCAACGGCAACTGGCGCTTGGAATACTAGGGAAAATTGATTTTTATTTTTAAATTAATTATGTCAAAAGAATGAAGTAAAACCCTTGATTCCTGTATAACAACTGTATATAAGTTAAATTGAAAAAACAAGTAACGTGTGTTAGGATTTCACTAGCAGTTTCATTTGTGTAAATCATCTATAGGACTATGCAGCTACTCCACTGAAATATCTTTTTATTATTATTATTTTTATTTTATTTTACCAGGAACAATTTCTGATGTATGATTGGTGTTAGTGTCATACTACATTGCCTTAATCTTGCATGGTTTGTCATACCATAGCTTTTCTCCACCTCTATTATCATCACAGCTCTGCTACGTGTCTTATTTTGATATTCCTAGCAATATGGTTTCCAGGTTTAACATGAGGTACCTTTTTTAATTCTTAAAGCCTTTCCTGGTCTTAAGCAGTAATAAACTAATAAACCATCAAGATTTGTCATGACTTCATCTGCAGTATCGTAATGATCTCCTATGGTATAAGGAATTTGGGCATACAAAAAGAGGACACTGGATATTTACAGATATAAATCTTCTTCCAGGAGATAGAAAAGTCAGAAAAATAAAGCCTTCATTATTAAACCTAGACTTAACTTGATTTTTCAGTTATGAGGTTCAGCACTTTTTTGGTTTTGTTTTTTTTTTCTGAAGGCTTTACTGCATATAAATAATAACTGCTCTCTTAAAGGGCCAGGTATTAGCATTCTAAAATGCTGCTTTATTTGGTATGGTAGACAGTAAGCACATGTATCTCTGAAAACGAAAAAATCAAACAAACTTCTATTAAACCACCAGCTTCTTCTGTGGCTGGAATTCTGTCTCTCCCTGAAATACCTGCTGTTACCTAGGAAATTGGTGACATGATAATAAATACCTCATTTACAAATCCCCTTGTAATCTTTGTTACCCAGGCCTACAGCTACTACACATGCGCCACAGTATGTGACCTCAAGTATTTGGCATCCTCCTAAATCATGCACCATGGATGCCAACACTGACAGTGCTAAGCCAGTGGCCTCCAAGGGGTCTGTGAGGCTTGGAGCGGGTGCAGGTCAGAGGGAGGCCAGTTTCGTCACTACTGGCCAGAAAGTCCCTCTTACTTCCTCCAGTAATCAAAGGTACACTGTGACGTGTAACTGCATAACTGACCTGGTTTGGAGCTTTGGAGTGGTTTGGTGATAACAACCTCTAACTCCTTCAGATGGAAATGCCCATTGTCTGAAAGGCAGATGTCCAAGTTCTACAAATTCCAGCAACTTCTAGCTCACGTGGGTTTTACGCTTTAAGTGGCACTCCTAAGGATCTCGCCTACAACATAGAGACAAGAGTCATTAAGCACCTTCTGCAGAGAAACAGCAGCTCATATTATTCACTGTATTTCTACAAACATTCCCATATTCCAATGCAAAACTCTTCCGTGTTGAGTCTTCCTCTAAACACCTTCTCCAGCACTTTTTTCTATAAATGCTCCAATAAGAGATAATTTTTGCCTATTCATTTTTATTTTTGTTCGCTATATTTTCGATTCTTTACAAGAGATCTGTTGGAGGATTTGAAACAAAAAGAACTTCATGCATTACATAAAGGAGACTAAGTACCACTTTAATAATCCACTCGATTGTTATTTGGACAGAAAGTCTCAGAACTTGGGACTTTACTGAGAGAAAGAAGCGTAATCTGCACTTATTTTTTAAACGTTAGAGTGCGTTTGTTGCTGTGTTTTCTCATTATGGTCGTTAACCATTATTATCCTCTTAACCTCTACTGATCTGTGTTCCTTTTCATGAGTGAAAATCAGCTGAGAAGGGATACGTGTGTTTGTTTTCATCCACGTTAACTTACTCACATTGTGCATTTCGTGTTTATTTGTTACCACAAATATGGAGATGTTTGAGAACATCCATTTCCTTTGATTTTCCTTAAAATGCAAAATACTGTAAAGATTAAAAGTGTACAGAATGACTGTGTTTAAAAAAAAAAACAAAAAACTCTAACATATATAATAATGAAGCTGTCAAAAGATGATCTGTTTTATACAGCAGCATTCACGTTTATCAGTTCTTAAAATTCTTCTGCACTCTTTCAGATTGAAAATCTAGAAAGGAGGCACTCTTTAGGGAAAAAAAAAAAGTGATGTTATTTTATTTGAATATCCAAATAAAATTATTTAAAATTTATAGTGGTTAAACTAAGAACAGTCAAGTTAGTCTGAGTTCTTTCTATAAAACTGAGTAGAGAATTAGTTACCAACTGCATATATTGTATGTAACCAGATCACCCTAATTTTTAAGGTTTATACCTAATTCATTTATATTTATTCCAATTCCTTGTTCCGTTAATTAATATATTCTACCCTGCAGGAAGGTGATCAAGCCTCTAGCATTTTAATCACATAAAAAGAACTATGACAAACAGCATGCAAGATAAAATTTGCTTGTATTTCTTTTAGATTTTATAAGGTATTCCATATATTCACATTTATTTTATTTATATGTGTTTGTCCAGTTTAAATCTGCCTCCACACAGGTCCATGTCCACATATATGCTTATCTGTTTGGGTTTTTTTTCCTTTCCTTTAAACGTATATCACTGAGTATGTGTTTTGGTTAACATTTTGGAGATTGTTACAACAATTAAGTAACTTCACTGTTTTCTTCTATTCAAGGTATGAAGTCTTGATTCTTTTGAAATCTGTAGCAGATTCCCTTTCACTTCAGTGCAAATAGAAAGACAAAATAGGCGAAATCCCAGTTTGTATTTGGTTTTAGGACATGCATTAAGTTCCGTTTTTATGTGCGGTATAGTTTCAGTCCTTTTCTGTTTGCCAAATCAAAGATGTGTAAGTACTGAATTTTGACTCAACACCTTTTAATGTGACAATTCCAGTACCCGCTGTTGCACAGGGCGAAAAAAATCCCGCGAGTATTAAAACTCGGTAACAGGCTAGCCCATGATCCATAGCTGTGATGTACAATATGCGGCTGTTCCGCTACACAGGCTATGTGACTGATACCGTATGAGCTCCGCGGACGAGTTTGCATCATAATGCAAATGCATCAAGATGGAAGAACTGATCTGAATTTCAAATGCATGTTATGATGGAAAAACTTTTGCAAAACTGTTGCAAAACTTCCGGTGTAATGGTTTGAAAACCAGAATTGCAAACAAGGTGAGTATTTTCAGGAGCTCCCTTGTTATGTATATAATTGCAGATGAAACTCATAAGGGAGAAAATACTGATTTTCTGCTTTTGTTGTGGGTTGCATTCAACCTTGAAATTGGTGGGCATAACAACCACACTTCCATTTCAGCTAATCAAACAGTAAAATATTCAGCTGAAATAAAAAACACCACCATTTAGACTACTAAACCATACAAAAAGGTGGAGAAGAGGAGGAGGACAGGGGAAATGGGACAGTCCCTTGCAGAGCAAGGGGTATCACGAATTCTGAAGTACCAAGCGCTCATTCTAGATCCTGAGGAGTATAACTTGTTGCATCAGTGCTTCTGAGAGAAGCAAAAGAAAATATTAGAATGGCTGAAAGACAGAGAAAATACTTGCACAATGGCAAATTCACATAGGAAAAAAAGCTGAGAGAAAGAATGTTTGAGGGCTAAGGTTTGGCTGAAAAACAGTCGTGGAATTGTAAGGTTTCTTTTGTTATTTGATACTTACCGTGCTCAGGAAAGAATATTTTGGGCATTCTTTGTACATTGCACAAGAGAATTGCCGAACTCCGTCACCCTGATAGGAGTAATTTGTAAGGACCCAGAGATGTGGCAATATACTTACGAGTTAGGTCAAAAGAGGTAAAAATATATCCATTATGTTCCTATACCACTGCTTGTGGACAAGACAACTATGTCATGCACAGTAATGCCCTGATTGGGGGGGAACAACAAACCCCAATGTATTAGGATAACTACTAAAGAAAATGAATCTACAGCACAATAATATGGCATCGAGAAAAATGTCCCTTATGCCTGGGAGACGCATGCTTATATTATCACTGAAGTTTGTGCCCCAAAATAGTAAAATAATCTGAAAAATCAAATTGCAATTAGTTATTTTTCAGTGGCTTATTTGGTCTGTGGCTAATAATTAATAAAATCCACAGTAAAATCTGCCTCAACACAAAATTAAGCTTTTGTCTTTTCTTGTTTCTCTCTTTTTTTTTTTTTAACCCTCTTTTAATTTTAAACGACCTAGTGATTTTTGTGAGGTTTATTGACAAGTGAATAATGAATGTACATATTATTTTTTCTGTTGTTGATATTAAGTTCACTGAAACAGTCAGCAAAGAATGTGAATCTTATAAGTCCACTTAATGATTTTTTTTATTTTTATTTTTGTTTGATGTAAGAGCTAGTGGAAGACAATAAACTGAACCTCCCAAAAGATTAGTTCATTTCTTAGCAGTGGATGGCTTTGACTACACTATCTTGCAAAGCTGTCTAATAGATAACTGCCCCATTTGTCGATCTGTAAGAAATGAGTAAGACTTTCCAAATCTGAGTGAGGCTGCAAGGCTGAAATACATTAATGATCACTGGGTGCTCTGACAGCAGGTGATGGAAGACGCTAGTAGTTCAGTAGGTTACTAAAAGGGCCACAGGATACGAGACTAGATTTTTTTTTTAATTATTATTATTCATTTCAATTAACCTATTTTGCAATCGAATGAAGAGAAAATAAATTAACATGGAGCAGAGAAATATTCATGTTTATCTGTGCCACAACAGCACAAGAGGGCCACCAGGATAACAACTCATGCTCATCACCCAAGTGGTTTTAAAACTGGTGTAGTAAAATTTTATGCTACATTTTCCCCTTGTATTTTGCATACCGTTCTATGTGTAAAAAGGTATCTCACTGTTTGATGGGTTGGCCAGTGTAATGTAAGGTGAGTTTAGGTCAGACAGGAACAGACAATCAATGGACTCCTTTTAAACATCTTTCCACTACCTGTATTGCGCAAAACTGATTAAACCCAACACAAAACTGTGCTGAATGGCTTTCTAGACAATCAGAACTTGCAGGAAAACTGCTGATACAAGACTATGATAACATTCTTTTAAATTGCTTTTCTTCATCTAATTAAAAAGTTTACTCCTAGCATAAACTTCAGCTCCAGGAGTAAATACTGGGTGAAATTTATCCTAGCTCGAAGAGCTTGTGACAGGCTCTCTGCAACCATTTAAGTACTGCATGCCACATTTCCTACCACTGGCTTCAGCGGGAGCAGGACTGAAGTGCTGTGTAACACCTGGGATAAATTTCAGTCAAGCAGGACCAGAACTGCATTACAGTCTTAACTGCACATCCGAAAAGGCCTAATAAATGTCTTTTTTTTTTCTTTGCATAATTGTGCTTTTCCCTCAGTAACACAGTCTGCTACTATGTTTGCAGCTTCAGGTTCAAACATAGTAGGTTTTATGCTCTACGTTTAAACACGCACCTTCTTAAGATGCTTCTTGTTTTATTTAATTTAACTCTAATTAGTACCCCTGTTGAGCATGCTCCGGTGTCTACCAGTTCTGCCTCTGCTCCTGCACCACATGCTTCAGCCCATCAGCCTGCTACTGCTGCTCAAAACACAGCCAGTCTGATGACACCACCAGCAACCACCTCAGTAGTGCAAGAGTCTTTCTCATCCTCCTTCCAAAGGTAATGCTTCATTGCTTTGTCCTTTCGCAGATACACCCCTGTACGGCTCTGGAAATGCTGCATACACATTCTTAACTTAAGAATGTAGTATGTAAAAGCTGTAGACTATTTTATATGCTTTTGTATATTTTGGTGTGTTTTCTTATTTTGAAGTATGTTGTTCATGTTTGCAAAGAATTTGCAAAATAAAACTGCCCTAAAAAAATAACAAAAAGCAGCTTTAAGTCTGCAATACAGTTAACGTTTTCAGAAATCAAGTCTAGGGTTAAAACTAGAAATGTTTTTTCACCACTTGTAATAAAACCAAAACAACTCCTTATGATAGTTACAGCGGCTGAATGAAGGTTCGTTTAATAGTGTTTCTGTAGTATGCCATGAAATGGAAAATTAGAAAATGTCATTTACTCACGTGCTTGACCTTACCATATTGTAGTGGATCTCAGTAGAACATGGTGGACAATGAGCGATATGTCAATAAAACCGTGCATTTGATGATTGACTTGCTCTGTAAGGTAGAAAGTCAATTAATTTCTATTTAGCTTTATCTACTCTCTTTTCTCTAATGAGATTTAGCTATAGAGCTAAAGTAAGTTTCAAGGAGGTATGCTTTCATAACACTTGTAGTACAGTAGGAGTTACAGTTGTATATTAAAAGTTGTCAGACAGTCTGTGAAGAAATGCGTGGGATTTATACTGCTGTCACTTACATTATAGTAATTTTGGGGATAGTAAGAGTGAATTCCTTTGGTGCATATTATTCTTTTCTCTTAAGCTTTTGCTACATAAATATTCCTAAAACATGTATATTTTAGCATGCTTTAAAAATCCAAGGAAAAACACACTTCCAGTAATTTAAACTACTTTAAATAATTGAAACCTAAGATGTAGTCTGTCATAGCTTAGATGTGTGCAGATGGAATTGGAAATGTTCTCTTGGCTCTATTTCTTGTTTAATTTTTGCTAGTTGACTTAGTTTCTCACTTTAGTTAGTTTTTATCTAACCATGACCTACTGGACTCCAGTGTTTTTATTCCAGTGCAAGAAAATCAGCCAGCCAGCCAGCAAAGGAGGTCTGAATAAGGTATTATTCTGTAATTCAGAACTGTGCTGTAAGGCACTTTCACATGAAATAACGATATGGTTTAAGTAAATTTTATCTCTCAGTTGAAACTGTAACACGAAGAAAATGGATTATCTAATATATGCTTCAAAAATAAATGCCTCTATTAAACTAATCATGCCAATGACTTGTGTTTTAAATAGGAGAATCTTTTGTCTGGTACTGCTTGCATATTAAAAAGCTTAGCTTGAATTCAGACTCAAACATCTTCAGATCTTGCAGATAAAAACATGTATCATTGACAAAAGTCCTGTCCTGAAATACCGTCTGTCTTAGTTATCGATAGACTCTCGGTTTAAGATTTTTACATGATGTGTGGATCTTGTCTTGTGTTCTGTAGGGATGTGCTTGGTTGTGCTGTTCTGTAAGTCTGCAGATGTATGCCACAGCAAGCCTGTTCCCGGTAACCATGCAGCAGTCCTCTTGTACCTGAACTGCGACAAAGCTTGATTCTGATGTCACTATTTTTGTTCCTGTTAAATTATTTTGTACATGCTTTCATGTGTCTTCTGCAGAGTGCTTGCAGCCCCCAGCCCTCTTTCACAGCCTAAGCCTTTCCATGGGTCCAAGAACATGTCATTAGCAGCTTCCACTATTTCATCTGCTCTCTCATCTCAGTCTAGGTATATCTGTAAAGCTCTCTTCTTCTTTTAACTTAATTTGTTTTTATTCTGTATCACTCTCTCTGATTTAAGGTTTTCAGCTTCTTAAGAGATTGTCTTGGCAGAGACTGTTGAAAAGCATGATGTGTTTAAAGGAATAGCCTTCTTGCTTATCTTTCACATTAAAACCGAGCTAGGAAACACCTAAGTTTTAGATTTAGGATATGTGACCAAAAGATCCTTTTGGAACAAAGGTATTTCAGTTGGGTGGTTTGTCCTGTTTTTGCCATCTTAAAATGAAAATATTTGTCTAGTGGCACTGGGTGGGAATGACAGACTCCCTCCCCCCCACCCCTCTTGGTGAAAACACAGGACCACAAGAATCACAGACCTTCTTTTGTTATGCTCTTAATCATGACTAATGAAAGACCACTGATAGGGAAAGGTAGCATCTGTCACTAGAAAGAGAGAATGCTGCTGTACTGCCTCACTGCTAAGCCTTTTCATTGCTTTTATTAACACTTTGTCAAGACTAACAGGGGAGAAAGCAGTACATTTTAAGATTGATTATTTGAACATAATCTTCAGAAATAATGAAAAACTGAATCGGCAATACATTTGAGATTATAAATATCCATGTCTCTCTTATCTTGATATAAAAAGGTAGTTAGGAATCACCCAAAAGTGATGTTTGAAATGAACACAGCACGCAAGTTTGAAGGCTCCACATCAAGAAGTATAATGATCTTTCTCAAGAGTATCACAGAAAACAGCAGTTAAGTGCTATGCACAGGTACATACTCGAAAGCATTTTGTCTGGCTTCACATCACTGAAACCAATGCAAAAATGAAATAGCTACAGAACAGAAGATCAGAAGAGTTCCGAGTCTTAGGATGTAAACATGGCTGTTTACAGCCATGGGAATTACATAGGGGATGTAATTCCCATATGGAGCTGATAAAACATAAGTAAAATTAACTGCTGATCTAATTCTATTTATTTGAGTGGAAATACACTAATCATAACTTTAGGTTCAATTAAACTATGAAGTTGGTGAATAGCACCAAGAATAGAAGGTAAGAACGGATGCAAGGGCGTTTACTGCCATTGACATCTAGTTTTATGTATGAACTTTCAAAATTCCAAAGTGATGACGTATTTAGGGAATTCATTATTTGTGGGTATCCATCATAAAACACTTTAAGAGGACCTAATTTGCACATTATGAGCACTCAGTGCATTTCAGAAGTAATTCTTACCCTGCTTTTTCATTCAGTCCTGTGGTACGATTAGGCTCTTGAATGTCACCAGTACTATTTCATCCACTGTTTGTTTTACTAACAAATCTCTCTCTGTCAGCTGGAACGATCACATATCTCTATGAGAAGAGGGTCCTGCACAGCTGTTGTAGGAGACAGTTAAAAGCCTCTTATGACCAGGGGAAGTCCCTTGCTTCCTAAGCAACAATAACTGTGCAGATTTGAGCTTGTTTATAAGGCTGGCATGCAAAACCTATTTATTCTGAGCTACAGAAAAGACTCGGTCTTAGTATTTCTCTCAGTTGAGGACCGAAATGTATCCATCAGTCAGAACATGAAATTAAATTGAAGCCTTGGTGACTGCTCTGGCCAGACAGAGGACATCTATTCCTGTTTCATCAGTCTATATCTTAGAGCCCATATAAATCTTGCTATGAGAGGTATACTTTTACATACCAAAGAGATTTCCTTGGTATTCTACTAGCTTCAGTGAGAACTGTACGTGATAGCTAATAATAGATCTCTGAAGCCTGCACGTAGTAGTAGCGCTGCATGCATTACTTTTTATTTCTGCAATATATGCACATTTCATTGAGATTAGCATTGATGTCACAAAAGGCCCTAGTTTTTCCCCTTCAAGAAAAACAATCAGATAATGAAAGATTTTCATTTAATGAACAGTTTTGGAAAAACGCAGAAAGATATAATCACAGATGCATTGCATATATCACTTTTAGGACTCCATTGGTAAAATCTTAATAGGGTTTCTTTTAATGCCCACCCAAGATTAGAAAGGCATTTTTACACTTGAGTGACAATTCTGTTCGTTTGACAATTTCTGAGTATCTTGAATAGAAAGATACAAAGGGGGGGCTAAAGAACACATCACACTTTTAAAATGTCAAAACTACAAATTTTCCAATTTTAAGAAATGGCTTTATTTCAGAACTAAAATTTCCCTTGGATTTTGTTTTTATTATTCTGTGAAGCTGTCTGATTAGGTGGAGATAGACATAGAGTTGAACACTGAGAATGCTGCTAGTTGGGGGGGCCATTCTAAAATTGGACTATTGAGTTATAAAACCAAAAGAGTCACCTAAAAGCTTCAGAAACCCTTATGAATATGTGAATCATAGCATCGTGAGCTTTTAAATCAGTTATAAAAGTGGTAGATCTCTAGAAACTTTTCAGAGACAGATAGTTTGTCATCATAGAAAATCCTTAAAATAAGGTTGCCCAAGCAGGCAGAAGGCATGTTTTCACAAAATGGTTAATGCATGCATACGTTTTTAACTGAAGGCTATTCACTTAAGAAGCTATAGTTCCTTTGTATTAATCACAGAACTACGGATGGACCTTCTGAATCCCAGAACAGGCACTCTTCACATTGAAGTATGGTAGCTATGCTGGTCAGGAATAGAGTATAACAGTTACTTGGGACAGATTACTGCTGGCATAACTTTTCATTTTCCATGCTAGCTTTTGGTGTAAGAATTAGATGCAGACACCTTTTGTTATCTTCTGGGATAAATCTACTCTTCCATAGAAGAGCTATGTTTTCACTGCTGTCTTGGAAATGACAGTTAAGCAACAATTATGTATAATTTACATATAAACAGCTAATAAATCAGTATAAAGATAGCCATTATTTGTTGACGCTACTTGCATGGCTATCTCAGAGCTAATATAATGCTATTTCTTGATTGAGCCTTTATCCATTTCACTTTAATTTCACGTTCCTTTCATGGGGAGAAGGGAAGCGGCGTGAGGCCTTGAAACTATAAATTCATTTGTAGTTACGTATCAATATGGGCTAACCAGCGTGAATCACAATTTTAAAGAGTAATGAGGATAAAAAGATCACCTTGAGATATTAAAATTTGCTTCCAATTCCAATGTCTTATCTCCTGCATTAGACTGGCACGGCCCATTTTACCCTTTCCTGCCCCTTTGAAAGGAAGCAGGTTGCCGGGGGAGGCTATGCGTCCCCATTCTTGAAGGTTTTCAAGACGCCATTGGATAAAACACTAAGCAGCCTCAGAGCTGGCCTTGCTTTGAGCGGGCGGTTAGATGAGAGACCTCCTGAGGTCTCTTCCAACCTGAAAGATTCTGTGAATCTATGGAAAACAACTGTCTGTTTCAGAAAGCAACGCTTTAATCAGGCTACTAAAAACTATTGCTCGTACCTGGCAATTACTTAAGTCAAAGATATAAGATCTACAGCATATCAGCTTTATATGCTACTGCCCTAAAATCTTACTTGCCAACGAATGACACAGGTATCATGCTGACACACACTTCAGGCTATTATCAGCAGGCAAATGTTACTGTCTTAGCTAATACCTCTCTTGGAAGTTCAGTAATTCAGTGAGCCCTGGGACATAAAAGCAAATCACAAACTTGTAGGATCTGTACAAAATTGGTTCCCTGATAATCAGGTACAAGAAGCAAACTCAGTTTGGGTTTTGGGGGGTTTTTTTTGAGGGTTGTGTTGCAGCTGAAGTAGGTTCTTTATCTTTGTGCACTACTTCCGTGTTTGTTTTAAAAACTGTCATGTAGTATAGCTAGTGTATTCAAACATAAGGGACTAAAACTGGCTTCTAAACTGATTTATAATTCAAATTTTTGAGCACCTGATAGTTTGCATTTAGAAATCAAGCAATGCATTAGCATGCCAAAATATGGACTTAAAAATCCAGTTTCAGCTTGACATATACCACTGGAGCATTGCAGCATTTCATATAATTTTAGTTCAAAATAAAATACAGATGACCTTGGTTACAACAGTATCCCCATCCTGTAAAACATGCTCAGGTAGAATGAGGCTGAGATTTTACCAACCGTGGTTCCAGTGTTGTTTGGGTTTGGTTTTTATTTTTCCTTCTAGATACCTTAAAAAGGTCCACCAAGAAAACGCAGAAGGATTTCTTGACCAATGTCCTTAACTACTTAAACCTGATTTAATTTAATTTAAACTTTGGTAGATCAGTTCTATAGTGATCTTGCTTTTGTGAGCAAAGACCATATGTGTAACACCTAACATGAGTAAAATCTTCATAATGTTGCTAAAGAGGAATGTTTGAAGTAAGTCATTAATCCTTAACTGATCGTGTTACTCTTACTTTTCAACCTGCAGTGTTAATCTTTCTTTTTCACTTAACGATCTTACTTACAAAGAAGAAAGCGTAGCAGGAGTGTTTTAAATAAGCTGCGAAGCTCTTGATACAATTGGTTATTCCATCTGGAGGGCAAAAGCAGGGCAACCGGTGAGACAGCACTCTGGGAATACAAAAACAGGAGAAACAGTGGAAAGAGTTACGATTATGGTTCCAAAAGGAAGGTGTAGCTTCTGCGATCCTAGGATTTTAATCCAAGCAGTGTGTCTGCGGAAAAGGGAAGAAAAACTCTTCTCCAGAAGCTGGGAAACTAACTGTCATACGATAGGCTTCTGGTAATTCTGGCAAATGCGGGCTGTGCTCCTGTGGGATGCAATCGTTGCCCTGCACTGCTCTGCATTTAGAGAGGAGCTGTGTTCATTCTGAATCCTCGTTTCTCAGATCATACTTTGTGCAGGCTTTTAAGTACTTTCTGTATTTACAGAAATGAATCACTCATGTTCTGAAATGATGTTGCTTCCCCAAGGGAAAAAAAAAAAAAATCTACCTGTTTCCCTAGAGTCCCTTTAGTACATGAACAGTAGAATGGTACTGCAAGGGGAAAGTTGAACACGATGGCTTGATGTTGCTGCTTCAACTGCTTCCAGCCTGTCCTTTCTGTGGGGCTGTCCTAGTTGCCTCATAAGCTAGGAAACTTAGCTGATCTTTGGACTTTGGTTCGTTCACGGTTTGCTTTTAAGATTTGATGCAACTTAAGCTTATGACACTGACAAAAAGAAACTCATACTTATTTTTCTGTGCTAATACAAAAAAATGGTGAATGTCAAAGCAAACAGTCCAGTGGTTGAATTAGAATTCCACAACTAAAGAAAGAGCAAAACTGGATGAGAGGGACTTACGGAGCAATATACTCAGCTCATTTATTTACGTTACCATTATTCAGGTTTCACAATGATTCCTAGCTTAAATAAGATAAGCAAAATGTAATGTAATACTGATCTTATATGATTATAAATATGTATGTTGTTTACTTTAGCACTTAATCCACCTCTTATTCATAAGGAAATTCACTGTAGGACAAGATATCCCAATTTTCTTGCTATATTTTTTTCAAATACAACTTTTGTCTCATTTTAGTTTCAACCGGCATTCTTCCACCTCCATCAGCTACCAGTCAAAGAAGAGGTATAAAAATGTTTTGTGCAGCTACTCTACCTTGAAAGCACTTAACAAACCAGTTTATTGCTGCTAGTAGGCATCTACTGAAGTATTAACATAAAAATGATCTGCTTAGAAATATTTACTCTTTCTGACAACTAATAGTTTTCAGAGCCAGTATTTAATTCGCTGCCTGTCACGTGCCATTGGCTGCTGCAGATAAATTCAGTAAGGGCGCTTTCACTGCTTTTCGAGATGCCATTGCTTCCTGTTCCATTAAAGCATCTTTGATTCTTAGGACATCTTTTTATTCTTTCTTTCTTTTTTCTTTTTTCTTTTTTTTTCTTTCTTTTAATCACAAGCTATTTCCTTTTCTTCAGCAGAAATTCTGATAAATCTTTTAACTTCACTAAAACCCTTAATGATGTAGTGTAACACTTTATTTCTCTTTGACAAGCCTTTTTATCTTATGTATTTAATATGCATCATACACTTGTGAAAGAGTTCAGCAGTTGACTTCTTTTAATTTTGCCATGATTTTGGTACTATGAATACAAATTTGTGTGTGTGTTGTTTTTGGTTTTTTTTCAACTTCATTTCCCTGAACATACAAGGAAATCTAGTGGCATGGTTTTATCATGCTATTAACTTTGGGAAACACTTTAATTTTGAATAACCATTTTTCTTCATGACAGTCTAAGTATCACTAATCTGGCTCAGAACTTCTTTATGTATTTTGTGCATTAAGAGAGCTTCAAATGAGTCCTTCTAGCGATGGACCTGCACGTCTGGGAGTAGACTTTCCCGAGTGTATGCCATTTTCAGACTAAGGCTGTATGACACATGATTTAAAATTTTTTAATCCACATTGTAAATATTGATCACTGATCCTGTAAAGGTAAGTACATTTTACTGGTTTTCTGTCTAGTTTACCTTGAATAGTAGATTTTAAAACAAGGAAAGCTCTTTTGATAGTGTGTATTTAGCTAAAGGCATTTTGAAAGCTGTATGTGAAGCCAGTGTACCTGAAGCGTACATCTTCCTGTCTGTGCGACGGTGGGAGCAATGATCCTCTGTCCAGTGACCCCGAGTACAGTGCGATCTTAGGCACTACAGATGAGGAGGTATGAACAGGACACAGACGGTGAGAATGGGAAGTAAAAAGTCTTACTGCGCTTAGAACAGCTTTGGCGGTTACAAAATCACAGCACGGTTCACAACAGAATTTACATTGAATACAAACCCACCAAAATAGTTTATCTTGGAGAGTCCTGTTCACTCATGGTATAGTGGACCCAAATCCAGCCCTAAGCCCTAGACTAGGTACAGAAATAATTAGCTATAGTCATTGTAGCAATAGCTGTGTTTCTAGGTCTAACTAAATAGACAAAATAAATTAGCCTGAGGCAGCAATGCTATGCAAGCTAGGTCTATAGTATAAGCACTGTCAGAGCAGCAAAAAACTATGTTGTGAGGATAGGTTTATTTTGTTCAAAATTAAAAATCAAAAGTGTACATTCATCAGAATGCTTTTTACCTGTACTGGAAGGAATTTGCTGGGTTTGCCATATGTAAAAATTATAACATGTTCTCTCCAGATGGCATCTATTCCCACCATTAAAGAAAGTACCAGCCAAGATGGACCAATGGTCTGGCAAAGCTGGACACTTCTTATGCTGATAAATGTTTTCCTGTAGACGTAGCCACTATGGAAATAACTCCTGAACTGTCAGCACAAGTGGATAGGGATCTGGTTCATACAGATGGTGAAACTGGAGGGAAAAAGAAAGTAACTGTGTTATCAGGGTAAGAATGATGTTCAATAGTGAATGGGTTTTATTACTGCACGCGTCTCAGTAGCTGTTCCTTCCCTTCCTTGTACTTCTTTATCCTCTCTTGCTTGCTCTGTTTGTAATGCTTTTTTAGTGGTCTAAGAAGCAAAGTCACTGCAAATAGAATCATGCTAAGTAATAGGCAAAGAGAAGAGGCATATATTTCAATGTGTCACTATAATCAAACTGAGAATCACCATCCAAGCCATAAAATAGAGGAAAAAGATTTCTTATTCATGTTTGGAATCCTCAGCAAATGTTTTTAATCTAGGAATGCAGAAATTGCATCATAATACTGCATATCACGTGCTTTTGTGTTAGCTGAATCTGAACATTAGAAAAATTAACGTAAATTGTGGTTTCAGTCTAAATAGGGAAAAGAGTTTCAGAAATGTTTTTTAAAGGTCACTACAATCTTTTTGAAAAGAGTACAATGCTTATAAACAGTAGCTAGTATTGTAGTAGTAGTAGTAATTGTGCTGAGCCAGTATCTTTTTAAGGCAGTGAGATATGCCTCATTGATTTATCGTGGACAAGAGCAGGCCTGTTTGTTTGTAGAGGGATAGAAAACCCAAACTTTGTATGCACGTTCCCGAAGTCCGATCCCTTGTTAAACTGAGAGTTCCTTTAATAAATTTGTCATATTCCTTCAGTAAGCTGTTTTCTGTGACAACAAGAGCAACTTGGCAGTATTTAAAATCCTTATTTGGCTAATTTTTCTTTCCAAAGAATTGTCCAAGCCTTTCTTAGCAATGACAAAGACTAATGAATCTCTCGTTATTCTCTCTGTAGCTCTCAAGGACTGTTCCTCTTGGAGTGCTTTGGAAGCTGCCACATCTGTTATTTCATAATCAGTAACTTTTGCTGTTTATAAAGTTGCTCATACCTTCATTTTGCTTTTAGAAACACAAGCCAGTCATATACACCAACGCCAGTTTCTGGAAGCTACAGTGAAAGTCCTGCTGCTTCCGCTACTTCAAAACCGAGAGTTGTTACTACTGCCAGCATAAAGCCTTCTGTCTACCAGCCAGGTAAGGTGACTTCAAAGTACTGAAAGGATTCAGAAAAGAAATGCACATGCATTTCTTTTAGAAAAAGAAAATGCAAAGAATGCACATTTTGCAATAGGACACACACGTATCAGGAAGATTCATATACATGGGACCAAATGCTGCTAGCTGCTAGTTTTGCTTCAGATTATCTGAAGATCGAGGATTATGTTGTATTTGTATGCTGCTTTAGAGTGAAAATGTGGAGCAAAAGGAGGAAGAAGAATAAAGGCAAGAGAAAAACCTCTAATAAAAAAATGTGTAGCCTGACTTTTCAAAAGAAATACATTTGTAAAATAACCCAGCGCACCCAATTAGGAGCCCAATGACACTTCAGAAGTGATAAAATAGCTTAAGAATGCACAACTCAGGAAGGAGAGAAAATAGATTAAGGTAGCTTGAGTAGGATAAATTTGCAAAATAGATAAGGCCATATATTGAACTTCTCAAACTCAGGCTTATATTTGAAATAAATAATGACCTATTAAAGTACTTCGTAATGTTATGCTTCCACTCCCCACAGCTCCAAATTACTGAAGGAATATATTTGATTACTATGAACAAGGAGCTCTTGGACAAACTCAAACACAAAAAGGAAGCCTACAGAGGGTGGAAGCAAGGACAGGTAGCCTGGGAGGAATACAGAGAAATTGTCCGAGCAGCCAGGGATCAGGTTAGGAAAGCTAAGCCCTGACAAGAATTAAATCTGGCCAGGGAT